CAAGTTATCTCCCATGGATACACCACTTTCCTTTCTAAAGAGATAGTCAACTAAAATGATATTAAGAAATCATCCTCAATCATAGGACTCATCTTCTATGGTTCTGGAGTCAACATCCATAGGAATAAATCTTTGCATGGTAATCCGTACACTTCTCTTTGCAATGAACACATGAGGATTCTAATAGATCACAACTGCAGTAGCTCAAAAACCATCATAGGATGCAAAATACCACAGAGAGAAATAAACTCTCACAAGCCTCACGAAGCTTCAACCCAGAAGCACAATATTCAGACATCTTATCTGACATTACAGAGTCATCACCCACCCTTAAGCGTCCAAAGAGGAGATTCCCTCTAACAGATATCAGTATGACTGACACTACACACGACAGTATAGACTGGGTATCATACCATAAATAGATTTCTCAGCAAGGTTTACTTCTCTTATGCCATTCAATCCCCTATCCTTCAGAACTCCACCTTGCAATAACACAATAACACCATATAGAAATCTTGAGCTTTTGTCATTGCATGATTCACAAAGGTTGAAATAAACTTTAACACTAGCCATACAGATGAAGAACACATAAGCCTACAGAGACCATTCTTTAACAAAAAGACAACTTCAGTGCAAACTTATTGTCTTTATCATGAGCATTCTGATGTTCAGAACAATATCAGGATACTTAAAATACATCAATGAATTAGCTAGCCAATTGATGAACCATATTGAGTTCCATCTTTGTTGATACAGTATAGAGAATCTATCTCTTTTAGCCTTTCAGACACCATCTCACAATGAAGAACTTCTCCATCATAACAGAACAATAGTCCATAGACATGGTGTCAGTCTTCTGCAAGCACAATTCTCCAAGAGACTCAACACCCGATCAAAGTACATATCTCGTCTTAGAAGAGGTAGTCATGAGATAGACACACTATCTGTAAGATCATACAAATCCAGCTTTAAAAGACCAAAGTAGTCTCCAAGATGTCAGAGTGAATGTCCTAGACATTTTCTTTGACTTCCATATAAACTGACCCAACGAATGTTCATCAAGATGGCCATGAGTTAATCTGGACTTCCACCAGCACACATATCCATAACAAGTTTCTTGGATAAAGGCTTCCTAGGCTGCAAACCAAATGACTATTTAGGAGCAATTTAAAGAAGATTCCCACCACTATTGATAAACACACATTTTTTTATCATCCAGAACATATTCTACATTTCTCCTTTGTCCGAGAAGTTCACTCCTTGGATCAACAAGATTCTGCACATACTCTTCTGAAGTGATGTTTCAACATCTGGTTGATCATCAGTTCCTTTTCCCATGAACATGTCATTGTGATAGGTTCTGAAGTTCGTGTAACTGTTTGAAGCTGCACCTTCAGGAATGACATTTTGGACCTCACCAATCAAAAGGATAATCAATTAAATACTTGTTAAGGTCACAAATATCAATTGTTTTTAAATCTCAATTCTGTATTCTTCAGTCACAAAATGTCATAAGACACCCCTCCTTACTCTAGCAACAATCTAGGAAGGAATTTTTCAAAGTATAAATCTTCCATAGAGGACCATCTTCTCTTTTTAACACATTCAGCAGTGCCGTTATGAGCGGACTTGAGAGAGAAATCAAGTATCTTAAACATAAAGTGTTTACCAAATCCATAGATCATGAATTTGATAAACAAGCCATCAACTCAACCTTTTCCTCCTATTACCTTTCATGGTACATGTTTGACCCATCTCCCAAGCAACAAAGGAAGATCCTTCAGAGAAAAACATATCATAATGCTTGCTCCTTTGCATAACTCCCACTAGTGATGACATGAGCATCTAGAGAGGCTGACCCCATATTCAACAATCCAGGACAAATATCAAAACATTTTAAAGGCACCATGTGTAACAATAATATCATTATCAATCGCAGCAGAAGAATCTACACAGAGGTATCAGTCAACCATCAATAGTTGTCAGGCTGGATTCAGAAAACTATCCTCCTAGCTTCCAATCTCTTTGAACACAACAATAATGGATGTCCCGATCATACAATCTCCTTCCTTGTTCAAAAGACTAGAAATTAACTTCCCTAGAACTCATCTAAAAATAGAACAGGATGCTTGCTCTGATACCAATTGATATTCTGGTATACAGATTTCAGATGTTCCAAGAGATGTCGAGACATTGATTTCTGCATAGCTAAACAAAGACATAACAGAACATACCACAACAAACTGATATGTCAAAAACATAACAGTGTAATGACAGATGTTTCAACATCTTTTAAGACATGCATTTTAAAGCAAGAGACAGAACTGAAATATTCATAACAAAATGATAAATAATGCCAAGATATGATGACCCAGTTTGGTGTACAACAACACCTACATATGGGGGCTACCAAGCCAGGAATTAATTCACTATCAATAGTATTAATTCAGAGCTAAACACCTCTGGTTTACAACTCCTCACTTAATCCCTACCCAATGCAACTTCTACCTATAAATCACCATCTAGATAAGAGAAACCCATCTTAATTCCTAAATCACCTCAATGATATCTAACATTCATAACCTCTAGTGACTGTATCAAACTGTTCAATTGAAAGACACACCTCTTAATACAATATTCAGTCAAGATTCTTGACTAAAAATAATGCTTGAATTTTCTTAATAGCTTCATCCAAGAAAAACATACAATTCATTACCTACATGTTTTTGAATATGAAAACTATGTCTACCACAATGTATCAAACCTGATACAAAGGGTGACTTGCAATACAAGAAAGCCACATGACTCTCAAAACCCTAAAACCCTATTTTACTATACAAAAGTCTTAAAAAGGAATTCTTATTTTCTCTAGGTCTTAGTCTTCCTTTTATAATCTTCAGCAGTCCATGGGCTTCGAAGTCTCTGTCCAATCTTTCCTTGATCCACGTTCTAATTGCCCTTAAAATTTGGAACATACCTGCAATAAACCTGCTGCATCAGACCAAGATGTCAAGTCCTCAAGATAGGTCATCTTGTCTGATATGTTGTTCTTTATAGATTTATTCATGTTAGAACATCTTGTGCAACATCATGTTTTACCAAAATTTGGTCAAATCTTAGAGCCTTCAGATCTAAACATTAGTTCTCTAAAATCAATCAACCAACACTCATTTGCTACCAAGAACTACACAACTTTGAGTTCCCCTTGCACATGAGGATACGTAGGAGCGAGGTTCAATGTCTCATCAAGCACTATAACAAAAAAACCCAAAAATATCCCTTGTCTTTCCCAAAACTACGTCACTTTGAACTTCTCATCACACCTGAGGATATGTAGGGGCAAGACCCGCAATCTTGTCAAGCACCCTAATAAAAACATTTTTTGCGGCCCATTTTCTTTTCCATTTGTAATTTTAATCACTCGAAGAAAACAAATAAATATAAGCTAACATTCCAATCACAAATCTAACTAAATGGCTCCCGTTGAGTACAACGGATGTAAGGGATGCTAATACCTTCCCCTCACATAATCGACTAATGAACCCGAATTTGGTTGCGATGACCATTTCCTCTTTCTTTTAAGAGTTTTATGAATATTTTGTCTTTCCTCCTTTGGAATAAATAAAGCTTGGTGGCAAATCTATTCAATCATTCCGCGAGCGCGTGATGGTTTGTAGGTCGTATTTTTCCCGACGCGACAACTGGCGACTCTACTAGGGACTTTGCTTCTGCAAGAGAGAGTCAAGCCTAATTTAGTTAATTTGTGATAAATCTTAATATTATTTGTTTTCTTTCTTACATTTTTTCTCTTTATCTTATTGTGTTATTGTCATACCCCAAATTTGTCCTACTCGTGTATAGTTCTCATATGTACATTCACCCTCTAACCATTATCCATAAAATCCCAAAAAATATGTTGCTTCTGCTCATGGTCCGAACTCAGGATGTTACAGGGTTGAGATTGAATTGAGTTTCATCTGAGGCTTATTAGGACAAGTGTGTGTGCAGTGATGTTCCTAGTTCAAGAGGTTTGACCTAATCTTGGTCAAGAAAGAATTTGTTTCAAGATCAAGACCAGGATGGGCACAATTCAAATGATGTGAATATGAGGCTTTAATCATGGTTTTGGGCTAATTCAAGATATGTATGGACCAGGTTGTCAGGTTACGTCAAGTTGTCAGTGTTTCATGGTTAAAGATTGTCACAAATCAATTCATTTTGAATCAAGGATTAATTCAAGAATTGTTGGAATTTGGTCTTTGACACATTTGAGGGTTCAATTCAAATATGGTGTCGGATTAAGTTCAGGAAAGGTGCACCTCTGTGGTTTTAAGTGAAGAATTCATTTTGATATTCAAGACCATTTTCTATTCTTATCCATTTTTCTAAACCCATATCCATATCATTCAATCTCTACAAGATAATCTTTTCTAAAAATTTTCAAACCAACATTTATGAATAACCATTGTCATGTTACAAAATATATATATATCATAAAAATAATCAAATCTCACTCAAAGTATCAAAGCCCAATACAAGGTCCACCATTCATTACAAAATTTTACAAAAAAAAAAAAGTTACAAAACACATTTGGCCCATCAAATAAAAAAGAGAGTCCATTCACCAAAGGTCCATTACATTGCCAATCCTTTTCAAGTCACAAAAGTAAAAATGCACAATGTGATGGTGCATCATCAGTTCTCATTCAAATAAAGATTACAAGAAAAAATTGAAAAAAATCAGCAACATGATGCCACACGAGCCATTCTCAGTTTGCAGGAAGTGAATTCGACACCATACACAACTTGCAGCATTAAAGTCTATTTAACAATGAGCCGACCCGTACATCTTCTGCAGCAACCTTGACTCACCAATGCACATACCACCAAAATAACATGCCTTACGCCTTGCGCGAGCCTCACGTATACACAAAACCTTTCCTCAAAATCTGATACACACCATTCACTCCAAAATGGTCTCAAGCCTTCTTTTAATGGAACTACAAAGCCATGAGTGGCACCTCAATACACCCCACCTACACGAAATAAAAAAAAAGAAGAGAGAAGTCAAATTTGTTTCCAAAAAATTGAGACTTCGTCAACAAAGCATCTTGCACAAAAAAACTTTCAAAACGACATCTTGCAGAATCATAACCCACAACGCATTTCACGCACCGAATTTGTATGAAAACAATTTGCACCACACAGAATCAAAATGCAGTAACTTTTTCCAACCCCACAACGTGACCAATTTTGCACAACCTCTATCCAATTCCCTTTTCTTCGTCCCTAAAATACCCTGAACTCCCTCTCTATAAAATAAACTGTCACTTTTGCAAAAAGCCCCCTCCGGCTTCCTGCCTCAATCTTTCTTCAACTTTTTCTGAACCTCACAACCCATATTCACAAGCCCAAAACTTAAATCCTCCATAACTCATTTCATTCAAACACCAAAAACCCAAAAATAGACTCACTCTCAAACCCAATCAAAACTTCACTTTTTTCTCCAACCCAAATCAAAACCAGATCGAGCCAAAAGCAGAAAGAGGAAATGAAGAGAGAACCTGAGATGTTAACGCAAAACAAATTAATAAGTCAAACCTGAAATGGCGGAGGGTATGTCGCCGACGACACAACCAGATCGAACGGAGATTCGAACCTAAAATCAAGCAGACACGGACATAGCGGTTGAGATTGAGTTAACGTGAGAAGGTTGAAGTTCGATTTGAAGCGTTTCTCATGTTGAATTGATAGTTGTTGTTTACTGTTGTTTTGTTTTCTATCGCCTTGTTCTTCTACTTGAGGTTCTTTTTGTTCTTTTTTCTTTTTAAAAAAAAAACTGATGGAAATAAGAATCATTTATGTGAAGAAGGTGGAAATGTAACTGTGCTCTTTACCACTTTTCCCTTTATTTTTATTTTATTTTAAAGTTTGTTTTTTTCTTTGAGGGAACTAGGGCGTACTGGTGGGCCGTGAAGCCCCATATTGCCTTTTTTTTTAATTTCCTCCCTTGATGCAGCCATTTTTTTTAAATCTTGTGGGAGGGTGATGGGCTCTCAGCCCATATGATCCCATACCTTGTTTTACTTTTTACACCCCTCTCAGCCTTGATTCCCTCGCCTCTTATTTTGTATTTATTTTGTTATATTTTCTAAGGTTTTAATATGAAGTTTTAAATTTATTTTGTTAGTGATTTTGTTAAACGTTTTACTAAGTTTTTATATATATTTGTTTATTATTATTATTATTATTATTATTATTATTATTATTATTATTATTATTATTATTATTATTATTATTATTATTATTATTATTATTATTATTATTATTATTATTATTATTATTATTATTATTATTATTATTATTATTATTATTATTATTATTATTAAGTCACTCTTGATTTTATTATGTATACCATTTTCTTCCTCATTTTTACCTTGATTTCGTCTTGGATTTTATTTCCACTTTATTTTGGTTAACGAGAATCTAATATCAAATATTGTAGATTAATCTTGATTAAGATGAGACCAATTTTATTTTCGATTTCCATTCTTGTTCTATTTTAAATTTTCTTTTCTTTATTTCAATTTCGATCAATGAAAGTCTTTTATTCGTAAACATTGATTTATCGAGGTTGATAACCTTCATTATGACAAATCTGTAGAAAATGATCATTGGGATCATTTTCTATACTTTGGGATCGTGATATGTTACCTTCAATTAATTAACACGAGTTTGTGATTAAGACGAGATCACCTTTCTTTTCGTCCGTGTGACACGATTATATTGAAGAGTGATCCTCAATATCATTTCTCTATCTTGTTTTTAGCACGGATTTCAAATTGTGCGACCTTCTATAGTTTGATCTTCGTCATAGATCGAGCTACGGCGGTTTAGCGTTGCATTTTGTCCCGATTCAATTTAAAAATCAACTAACGACTAACTTTACTTTCCGTCAATATATTCTTGATTTACTTTCAGTTAATATACTCCTGTTTTATTTTCAGTCAATATTATCTTGATTTATATTATCTTGTCCATATACTTGTTAATATTTATCTTGACTATATTATTGTGAATATTATCTTGACTACATTGTTATATATCTTGCCATATTATTCATAATTGTTCATATTCATATTCATCTTGTACATCTCTTATTCACATTCTTTCAAAACACTTAATAATTATCGAAACAATAAAAGCATAAATTGGTGGACTGTCGGATTATTGGACTTTGTCAGAACCCTAGCTTAGAGTTTTGTCCGACTTTTTTTTTATCAAGGCTTAGTTTAGGACACTTCGCACAGACGCGACTTCCTCTTGGGCTACCTGACAATGAACCTTGTTATTTTGTGTAATCCCCTGTAACTTACATTTATCCCTCTCTCATTCCGATGTATACATTCGTATTTTGCTTTGATTGTGGTTTATCTTCTAGGAGCACCCTTAGGGACTACCGTAGATTAAACTGTTTTCAAATTGATTCTCAATTCGTCATCGAGCCATTTTCAAACACCCCTCGTAAGTCGAGTGCTCGTCTGCATTCGCCATCAACCTATCGCACACACTTTCATATTTCATCGTGGTTTCGTTATTAGGAGCACTCTCAAGGACTAGTATCGTTTCTCACAACCTAACCCTTGATTTGTCGTCAAGCCAGCTCCATTTTAAACCAAACCCTCGACTCGTCGTTGAGCCATTTTCAAACCAAATTCCATTCCACCACAGTTTTTCATGTAAATATAAGTCAAACCATTGATCCAATGTCAAGCGGATTTTTCTCAACCAAACTATCAAATAATTAACAACTATTTAAATCTTTTCAAGGTGAAAATAGGGGGATTGAGCCTTTGATATCCCTTCAGTTGTTTGGATGTGAGTTATCTTACTCATGTGTGAGCAATTGGTACCTCTAAAACATTTCAAACTTGACAATGTTCACCTATCTTCTAACCACTCATTATTCAAACACAATTCAGGCATAACCTCTTTTCAAGATGAAAAAGAGTGAGAGTCAAGTCTTTGATTCACTCTCCTGACTACTTGGGTCTGAGGAGCCTTTCTTAAGCTTCGAGTAATCGTCATCCAATCCAAACTTCAACTTAATTCAACCCTTAATATTTTCATGGTCTTCATTCTCGTATGAATGTAAGATACGTAGGCACAAGATTGTGATGATCTTGGCGAGCACACTTCCACCTTTTTTCGTCATTCTTTTCACACTTCTACCTCCCCTTCATCTTCTGTTTCCTCTATCCTTTCCCGTAGTTGAACTATGAGAGCTCTGATTCCTCATTCTCGTCCGAATGAGCATACGTAGACACAAGGGCCCTAATCCTTGGCGAGCACCCTATCCTATAACCATCCATTTCCCCTTAGCGTCTTTATCCTTTTATCATACCATATCGCATTTATCATTGAGAAGAAAAACATTAAGCTTAGCTAACATTCATCACAATTCGAATTAAGAGGTTCCTGTTGAGTACAACGGACGTGAGGGGTGCTAATACCTTCCCCTTGCGTAACCGACTACCGAACCCAGAACATCGGTTATGACGGTCGTGTTCCTGTCCTTCTTTTAAAAGGTTTTCTCGATAGTTTCCTTTCCCGTCTCTTTGGGATAAATAAAGTTCGGTGGCGACCATGTCGAACCACATTTTTGTGCCTTTAGCGCGAGGGTCGTACGTTTCTCGTTATGAATTTTCGAGGTGCGATAGCTGGTGACTCTGCTAGGGACGGTATTGCTCCATGCAAGAGAATTCAAGCCTATCTTAGTTTGAATTGTGAACTTGTTAGCTTTGCTTATTTATTTTCTTCTCGCTTATTTATTTGCTCTCCCATCCTTATCTTTTTTTACTTTTGTGGCATTGTTGGGTCGCTCTACTTATGGGTACTTTGTGAGATGGGGACTTGCGTGAGTTCTTCCACATAAGGCCGAAGTGAAAACCCCACTTGGAGTAGATTCCCTTGGAGGTGTTGTTGTGGTGGTGAGTATTTTCCATAACAATAATGTTTTCGAGCCTGAATCATTGATCCCAAGGACCATTAACCCGTTCTATCAACGTTGGTTGGTAGTGTTAACTCCTTTTGGATTAATACGAATGCCCCAATCAGATGAGATCCCTTGAACGTATTACTTCCTGACAGTAATACTTTCAACCTCGATCTATGACTCTGAGAACCTGTTTTAGAACCCGTGTGTCGATGATTATGTAGTTGACGTCTCCGAGAAGTCTTTCGCGTGTGGAAGATACGAAAACCTCACCTATACGAGATCCTTTTGAGGATATTATTGTCGTGATGAGGCTTCGTCATGGCTATAATATCCTTGAAAGATATCCATGACTCTAGGAACTTACCCGTTTTAGATTCCTACCCGTGGGGTATCTTTAAGCAGTGACTGTGGTTCTTGACCCGTTCATCTGGCCAACCTCAGAACTGCTTGAACCTGTGATCCTGCGATCTTGCATCTTGTATTACATGTCATTGCATTGCATTGCATCTGTTGCATCTTGCACTTTCATTCTTTCAGCAGAATCTCATTTATCCTTCCTTCATCTCTATTAAATCAAGCTGATTCCCCGACACTAGTACACAACTAGAGCCAATATAAGACGTATGATGGAACAAGTTTAGCAAGAGCAAGTTTCCTTTTGAGAAGAGCTGGATTCCCTCAAAGGAAAGATCGACCAAATTCTCGAAGCCATCACTACATCCAGAAAGGAGGAAGAGCTGCGTGAAGCCGCTGTTGTCAAAAATAATGGTCAGGTGCAAGGGTCTACCTCAAGGCTCTCAGTTCTTGTTCCTAACCCCTATGGAATACCGATGAACTTCACTACCGCAGATGAAGGAACCACTTCTCATCTAAACCCAACACCTGGAGTTATTGTTGGAGCTATCCCGCAAGCCCAACCTACCATCGTCTAGATCCCCATTCCTCATGCTGAAGAGAATCTATTAGATCAGTATGATGATGTTCAAAACTATCATACTGCTATCCCCATTGCCAGTCCTGTTGCTGCTCGGGATTCAAAAGCTATCAAGATGTGCCGTGATTTAGATGAAAAACTCCGAGTCATAGAGGGACATAATTCAAATTCTCTCAGTGCTCTGGAATTATGCTTGGTTCCTGATGTTGTCATTCCTCCCATGTTTAAAGCGCCAGAATTCCCGAAGTACAAAGTGTGAGTTATACGAATGCCTAAGAGGGGGGGGGGGGGTGAATTAGGTTCTTAGACACTTTTTCCGGTTTTTGATGATTCTTGGATTTTTATTTTCCTAAGTGCTTCTAGGTGATGAAAGGCAGTAAATGCGGAAAGTAAAAAACACATCGATATATAGTGGTTCCCCTTACAATCCAAGAGTATTCCACTCCCCTTCCAACATGAAAGAGAATTTACTATCAATGTTAAATTTCCTAACCAAGACAACTCTAACAACCAAGAACACCCTTCTTGGATTTACACAATTTTAAAGTCCTACCGAGAATGAATATCTCACACAAGGACCTCTTGTATCCACAATCCGGATAACAAGGAAAACCATACACACTTATCTTTAATAATCCTAAAAATAAGTTGTAGTGAATCTGAATTTTGTATAAGTAACAATGCGGATATTTATCAATATGAATATTGATCTTCTCCTTGAAAAAAAATATCACTCACAATAGATATACAAGTGTTCTTATGAATGAGATGAAACTAGAATGATGTTTCTGAAAAATTATTAAGAGTTTCTCTCAAAAGGTTTGTAATGAACACTATGAAAATGTATTGAAAGAATGAGAATATGAGTGATTTTGATTATGAAAAATGTTGGAGGTGAATTCAAAATCTAAAAAAGAATTATTTATA